GAAACTGACTAATTAGACAGTCGGCTCAACAATCTGCAGGATATTAAGCTTCTGCTGATCTGATCATACTTTAATGGTGGCAATCTTTCAGTGGCATTGTGCAACTAAATTTGCTTTTGAGGACTTGATTAAACATATTAAACATTCAGAGAGTCAACAAATAAACAGAAAAGCAATAAAATATTGACTGTATTAAGTGGAATCACTTCATACTTGTTTTTTATATAGTTCAATATCATGGGAATAAAGTAAAAATCTATTATGTACCATATCTTCTTATATAATAGCTGCATATTAGCTAACATGTTGATTCAGCACAGTATAGTTCTTTATATAATGAAAGTACAGGTCATGATACAAAAATTCATATTTCTCTCCACAGACAGCAGGTAGATGTAACAAAACCAGAGAACAATGCACATCTTAACATTTTGATTTCCAGTTTTTATGAGGCTTTATGAGCATGTCCCTCACTGGTTTCAAAAGAAAGTGCATCACCCAAACCTTAATCAGAAATGTTGGCATTTTGTGGCGTCTACAGTTGCCTGAAAAACAAAAATCTGTAAACTTGAGTCATAATTTGTGTTTGAACACAAGTTAATCATCTACAGAGATGGGCTGCTACAGATGAGGGCAAAACTATTGCCTCAAAATGTTCCCAAGTTGTTTTTTAACAGATCAAGAGATTTTCAACATACTGTTTCTAAACATACTAGTTTTCTTAAGAAAGCATGCATTATTTCTATTTGCCCACAATAACAGAATTATTTCAGAAAACAGAAATGACCAGGGTCGATATTATTTGCAAGCTTAAAATAATGTGTCTTCTTCTTATCGACTTATTGGAAGGGTTGTCTTCCAATTTACTCATTGTATGAAAACTTCAGCAAAAGTTTGAGCTGTCACTTGAAAAAGCATCACACTAAAACCAAAAAATCCGTTTAGACTCAAGAAAAAGAATCGTTGATGCTCACGAAGCAGGAGATGGATATACGAAGTTATCACAGCGTTTCCAAGTGTCAAGAATTGGACCGAGAAATTCAAAGACCGACAAAACAAAGAAACACAGCAAAGATACTGAAGGAAGTGAAAGATTTCCAAAACCCTGGAAAGAAAAACAGTGAGAGGTGCATCTAAAGACCACAGTGAATGACTTAGCCAAGTCAAAGAAGCCAGTCACTAGAACCCTGCACAGGGATGAACTGCGAGGTTGCAAACCAAGAAAAACTCCACTTCATTGCAAAATACATCTTCAAACAACACTGAACTATGCATAGGACAAGGTGAACAACTCAAAGAAGACTGTTCCCACGGTGAAACACAGTGGTGGGAGTACTATGCCGTGGGGATGCTTCAATGTGTCTGGAGATGGGAATCTCATCATCGAGACAGGTTTGAATGCCTCAAGCATTCAACAGCAACACTGGGTCTGAGTCGTTCCTTGGTCTTCCAACAGGACAATAACCCAAAACATACATCACTCCTGGTGAAGAACCCCCTCCTGAAGACCAAAGTGAAAGTTATTGACTGGCCTGTCAAAGCCGTGACTTGAACCTCCCTGAAAATCTATCGTGAGATCTGGAGGAACTGGAGAGATTTGCCAAAGAAAAAAAGGCTCGTGTTGCACAGGAGACATTTGCGAGACTTGTTGAAAACTACAACTAAAACTGCAAAAAAGAAATACACCTGACTATTAGCATCAGAGGGGCTAATAATTTTGACCCTGTTAGTTTTTGTGACATAATTTTGTTTCTGTGTGCAAAGTAAAATAATGTAAGCATACAAAATAAAACCTGGATGTTTGGAAAAGATGTGTTAAAAATTTCTTGCCATGTTTAACAGCACGTTTTTTTTTTTGTTGTTTTTTTAAAAGTGGCATCTTTCATGGGAGACTAATAGTTTTGTCCTCACCCGTCTATAAGGTTGCAAATGTACATTTTGAACAGTTTAACTGCACTCGTCTAATAATAACTAGCTTTGCTTTTACTATCAACGATTGTGTTAGCAAGTTAATAATAACATCATTCACATCTGGGTTACAAATGTGACATTTTGTGGCGATCCACTGTCTTTGAACACCAGTGAACATCACATAAGCTAAACAATGCACAGCCAATGGAGGTAGCAGCACACCACGAGATCACAGGACCAACAATTACATGGCCTCTCCTTCAGAAAAAAAAAAGATAAAGCAAGTGAACAGCAAACATGAAAGGTGCAAAATATGAATGCATCACATACATACATGTAGTATACACGCGCGCACACACACACAGGCACACAAAATATATCATTTACCAGTCGTCCGACAAAACACCCACCTTTGTGCAATAGGAAGATAAACACAAAATTTCGTCTTGAACTAGGCGTTTCATGACAGTTTGACAGCGATGACAACAAACATTACCGCTCTTTGTTTAATTCTCAAAAATGACAAAGCACAAGCGGCCCGTCATGAAAAAAACCCCTGGAGTTAAGTCAACCTTGCAATCAAACTAGGAATGTCGTGCTCATATTGTTTCATAAAGGCCACTGAGACAGCTAAACTTGCCTGGTGTTTCTGACGTTAATGCCCTGTTGCCAATCTGTTCTTTTCTTGCAAAGTCCTTTCATCTCAGAAAAAAAATCCTCTCTGCTGAATCAAAGGTACAAGTGGAAATCTTATTCCCACATATGCTACCATCTCTCTATGATATTGCACTGAATAAAGGATTTTGTAATATTTTTTTAGCAGCCAGCATTACTTCACACAATGCCTCAATAACAGTGTAGTCTTTTTGAGATTTTCTTGGAGGATCATGGTGTCTGTTCCCTTGTAGTGACATCAATACTCCATTTTTTTTTAACATTTTATTTTATTATTTTAATTTCTTTTGCTGAGAAAAGTCTTTTGGAAAGTTTTATAACCAGATGCTTTGATACCTTGCTTAAAAAAAATGTACGAATTACTTTTGCCTAATGATAACAAAAACAGAAGAAATACATGTCATGAAAATCCTAGTTTGTTTTTGTTTTTTTTAATCACCCCCTTGATTTAAAATACATCATAGTTACACGATTTTGTGTCTTCAAGTGACCTCGCTCTTGATTTTGGCACTGCACTGTACATAATCGATTTGTGGCCACCTTTTTTTTAATATATATATCACTGCACTGAAATAGGCTCAAGCAGTCAAGGAGACACAGCTCACATCCTCTCTGTCATGTGTTGTTAGATCAGAGTTGATTGTATGAATGCAATACACCGAGCCCAGCATGAGCACTTACTGTACATTAATTTTGTTTCTGTGTTCTTTTATTTCACAGGGGAGAGTTTCTTCAGGAGTTTCTTTCCCTTGGAAAGCAGTCCTTTCTTCTTCTTGTTTGCCAGATCTTGAGAGTCCCGGGGGTCCACTGGGACGTGGGGACCCCTTGTAGGGCTGAGGGGCCTCATGGTTCCAGGGAGGAGGGGGCGAACAATCGGGGACGGCGCCCGGACGGGTGTGGTGTCATTGTTGACGGCTTCGGTAGTTTCTGTGGTAGCCTGCGAAGAGAAGTGGTGGGGAGGTATGGAGGCATGGGGCAGCATATTACAAATGAACCAACTCTTTCATACTGAAACTCTAAGCCTTTCCCTCTGCGTTTCCTCGGCTAAACGCTGTTTAAAAAAACCACTTCATCTGCTTTAAGTTTGATCAGATTCCTTGAGTAACACAAAGAATGAAAATTAGCTCCCTTTCTAGCCTATTTCAGAAAAACAATTTTGTTTCTTAATAGATTTACAATAATGTCCCTCACTGTATTCATAATTTTCAGCTATTTTCCTTTTGACTTTTTTTTAATATGTTCAGAGCCAGATTTTCTTATACATTTTTAAAGTGGTCTCAATTGTTAGTTCTTCAGGCTTTCTAAAGCCCTTTTAAAGTTGTTTAGACATTGGCTGCTTTTTCCACTCATTTACAGTCCAGCCCTTGTACCTGACCATATTAGGTGTTATTTTCTTAAGCCACTTAACACTGACTCGTTAATCTTTCAAGCATAAATAACTCGAGGGATGAACTTAGCACTTTGACACTTCGAAAAAATACATAATTTGTTATTTCTTTTGTTGAATCCAGGTGAAAAAAAAGCAAAAATAACACAGTTGACAGACATAAAACAATCTTTTTTTTTTCAACGAGAAGGTCATTCCCTTTTGCTTTATAACTGCTGAAATAGACTTCCACTCTCCGCAGCCCTGAATTGAGTGACCGGAAGAAAAGAGATGGAAGGTGATTGCCAAAGAGCTACTAGCCAAAAAAATGGCATATCTCATGGAGTGTCCTTAAAGAAATCTGAAGTAAGTGGACAACTGGGGGACAAAAGAAGTGTCAGGCATAAAAAAAAAAAACTTTCTACAGCAGAGGAACAGTTTCTTAAATGCGTGTCTTTAAGAAAAAATCCACCAGAGACCTGAGAGATCCATCTACTGTTCACTGAAGCCTCATCAGATATCGCCTCAATGGAAGGGCAGCTGTCAAAAAGCCAGTCTTAAGAAAGGGAAACGGGGAGTAAAGACTGAGGTATCCCATATTACACAAAAAGAACTGTACTGGAAATCAGAGGAAAAGGGTGTTGTGGTGCGATCCAAATTTGAAATTTATGTTTTAAGATGTTGTCATCAATGTGTACAGGGGAGACCAGGAAAGAGTCGGTGTCGATGAGCATCTGTAAAGCAGAGAGGCTGCAACTCAACATTACTGAAGCTGTGTGGGTTCACATTAACACAGAATGTAACAAAAGGAAGCAAACATCCAAAGAAGAGCTTTAAATGTGCTTCAAGAAGCCTTTGAGAACTATTCCTAAAGATTACTTTGAAAATGACAAGAAAGCTTGGGTAAGAGATTTCAGGCTGTGTTGAAGAATAACGGCAGTCAGACCAAATGTTTAACTTTAAACCTCATTAGAATTATGCAAACTGCTTTCTCCTTTACATAGTTTATTTCCTTTGTTTGCAGATATTTCAGTAAATCACTCCATATCCCATTTTCCTGGCAAAATATAAAGACTTTTGCACAGTACTGTAGTTTACATTATTGGTGGTTATATCTCAAAACCCCTGAAAACAAATTTATGAGGAATGAAAAAAAATCTTAATTTTGGGTGTTTTGGGTTCGATTATGTTTGATTGACAGCATGTAAATAACTCACTTGATGTGGCATGCTTCAGATTCAAGGATTCTTTCACAGATCAAAAGGTAACTAAAAAAATAAAGGTTTCTAGTTCTATATGAAATATTCAGTGTTTATTTTCAGCAATTGATAATATTAACTCTTAATATAAAAGTTTAATATTTTCTATACTATTTTACATTATTATTTCTCTGGAGTAAAAACTGATATTTCAGAGTAAAGCCGTCCAAACCTAGGTACTCTGCCTGTTAATCTGGATAAAACTGATAGTAAAGATGTTTTTACACACGAATACATGACTTCAGATAAAATTCTTCTTTTCCTTCAGAATTATTTTCACCTTAATCCTAACTGCCATTTAACATAGTCCCAACCTAAAAAAAAAGAAGTAATTTTTTGTGTTATTTAGGCTTGCTCTGTGTCCCTGTACATAATGCATGTCCTCATTAACTGAGTCCACAAACAGTTTAGGGTCTGCAAAACATTGTGTAATGCCTCGTCCACACTCTCTCACACACACAGAAATCAAACTGAGGAAGAAGCCATCAAATGCTGAGCACAACATCAGCACACCACAGAGCTGAAGAAGTCCATCATCAGTAGGCCATGAGGGAGTATACAGTACAGTCAGATACGGTACAACACCCAGGGACACAACTGTAGATACCAGGCTTCCCATCTAATGCAGCAGCTGCTATTTCGGATAAAGATATCGTCCTATAATGAAATCTGAAATCCAAATTGTAACTATAACACCTATGGATGACAGAAGAGAAGCTACCCACTAATGTGAGTCAAATATTTTAGTGAGTCACTTAACAGAGAGCTAAAAATCAAACAAAGAGACAAATCTGCCTGATTCGAATCATGAAACAAGTCAATGACTTGAAAAGCGCCTCCGTAATATTGCATGGCATTTAAACAGCTTCTGCTGCAACAAGCTGTGTGCATTAGCACAGCGAGTCTGGTATCTCAAGTTGCCAACTTACTGTACAAGGCAGACAGAGCCATTTATGGTGTGAAATGAACAATCTTCCTCTGCTTGTTTGTTTTGTTTTGCCAAGCGGGTGAGGAAAAACAAAAAAGAAATCAGATGTGGCAGCACTGTCACTGTCGGTAAAACCCACACCACTATGACAACTGAAAACAACAACACCACCAACAACACACATGAACACAGAGCATGAATGTGTTTAATATCCAATTGCTTTCTTTTTATTGTTCCATTGTAACAACAGTACAGTATGGACGTCTCAGTGCTGCGGTTAGTTTTTTTTTTTTTTTTTTTTTGTCTCTCGAGCTCAGAGCAAACATGGCATATCCACTGTCACCAGGGCTGAAAAATAGATCTGATGTGTGTGCAGTATACATAAAGAAACAAAGCCTCTTCAAGGAAATACAGCAGTCGAGCCAAGAAAGTTGCTAGAAAATGTATCAAGTTTGAAAAAGGCATGCTTTTGTCTTTTTGTTCTCAATATAATTTCTTTCAGTGTCATTGGGTAGCAATTGTTATGTGTTAATAAAGCACTTAATATATTTATCTTTAATAATACAATACATAACCACAATTTGATTTTGTGTTTCAGTGCAAAGAGGCCCCAAATTATCTTGTGTAAAGAATGAGCCTTTTTCAAGTCCTCCCTTAACCAGTGTTACATGCATATACCACCTGCAGAGCTCCCACAGTCTATCCTCTCTGTCCATGTCAGGCTTTGCTTCTTCCTTTCTCTGAGACTCAGAAAGGTGTTAACACCGGATTTTGTCCCCTTTCCCCCCTCCAAAGGGTGAAGGGTGGAGAGGGAGTTGTTAGTCTGTATAGAGTCACCACTGTCACCACATGGACAAACACACACAATGAACAGCACACAGACGGCAGGTGGAGGAAGCGAGAGACGAAAATCAAGAGAGGACTGAGGATGTATGGACACAGGGCCTAGCGCTGAGAGCGGCGATGATGATGTACCCGTTTGCTCTCTGAGACGGCGGGGATGGAGTTGGCAGGAGGCCGGTTGGCGGGCTCTTCCTGGGGGTAGTGGGATGGAGTATCAGTCAGATAAACCTCCACGTCATCAGGCACTTCTTCCAGGAAGTTAGAGGGAACCAAACCGCGGTGGCCATTGATCTCACCCTGTGGAAAGAAATGAAGAGAGGTGAGAAGGCATAAACTTCACTGGCAGAATACCAACTCATAAGATTATGCTATGTCTGCACAGCTGCCACAGTTGACTGAACATAATGTAATCCATTCTGCGGACCAAACACATCTAATACATTTACATCACATATGTCAGGCCTCCAATTGATCTGAATCATGTCTCTCATCTTCCTACCCATCTGTTTCAAGTACACTCACCGGCCACTTTGTTAGCTACTCATGTTTAACTGCTTGTCAATGCAAATATCTAACTGGCGGCAACTGAGTTCATTTAGGAATGTAGACGTGACCAAGATGATACGCTAAAGTTCAGAGCATCAGAAAGGAGATTTTAGTGACTTTGAATGTGGGATGGTTGCTGAAGCCAGATGGGCTGGTCTGAGTATTTCATAAACTGCTGATTTACGACAACCATCTCTAGAGTTTACAGAGAATGTTCCCACAGAGAGAAAATGTCCAGCGAGAGCCAGTTCTCTGTGAAAAAAAGAAGAAAAAAGCCTTTTTGATGCCAGAGATCAGAGGAAAAATTGCCAGACTGCTTCAGACATACAATAGTAACTCACATAGCCATTCATTAGAACCAAGGTATACAGTACAGTACAACATAAGGTGATCAGCTTTAAATTTAAATGTATTTTCATGTTTTACAGATTTTCTTACTGCTTCCTCGCTTGATTTTAAACGAGTCTGATGTTCCTGCAGAGCGCAACATGTTAAAATTAGCAGATGGGCTACAGCAGCAGAAGACCACACCAGGTGACAGGCCCAGAACCACTAAGCTTCAAGCAGAAGAGGCATCTATTAAGAGTCATCTATTAATCGCAAGGTTATTGGTTCGATCCCTTCTTCTCCAGTTAGCAAGCCAAAATATCCGCGCATACGATGCTGAACCCCAAGTGGCTGCCCGATGTAAATGTTAGATAGAAAGCACTTAGATCTATGACTGTGTGAATGAGACCTGGTGAAGCACTTCGAGTAGTTTAATCAAAAATGGTGCCTAATACAAATTTTGAGGAGTTCTCTCGAGGAGAAACCCCAAAAACATGGACAAGCACTCACATAATAGAAACCATCTTCGTCAATGTCACCAAACACAGCAATGATGTCACCAGCGCAAAATGTGAGTTCAGCCTATTAGAGAGATAGAGAGAAAGGGATACACAAATAATACAAAGTAAAATCCAGTTTTTGTTCCAGTTTATTTAAACAGACTGAATTAAGGAGTACAAAAGTGCTATTTTTGGACAATCTTTGTGGTTTTGTGTAACAATCACATTTCTATGTATTTGTGAACCAAATTATGCACATATAAAAGTGTTTAGGTGTGTTGTAGTAGCTGGTTAGATATTTGTGCGTTACACTATAAACACTTAAGCATTGAGCAGTTTTTCCTTTACAGCAAACAATACCTCAACATCAACATTAGGAGAGCTCTCCCTGGGGTCGTAGTCGTACAGAGCCACCATCCTCCTGGAGGCCTGATCTCGACGCAGGCCTCTTCTGTTCTGCTCTGAAGGTAATTGTAAACGGCATTTTAACAGGAAGCGTCCCGTTACATGCTTTCTCTCACAATATCTAACCATTTTTTAAAAGCTGTACATGGTTGTTATTTGTGAGGGTGTGTATGCTCTTGTGGTACCTATTCTATCCACAGGTGTGCTGAGCGGCAGAAAGCCCTGTTTGATGAGCTGGTCCATGGTGTCCTCATCGTCTGCTCGTATCTCTGACACCATGTTACAGGGGATCAGACCCATCCTGCCCTTCACTTCACCTCTGTAAAACCCATCAGTATCTTTATCCCCATACACCTGGTAGGTAAGAAAGAGCAATGTTTAAAGCTCATGCTACTACTACTTTCTTTATCCATTTGACATTTATGCTTGGTTTAATAGTTTACCTAACAGTATGAATTCACCTTAAAAAAAAAAAGAATGCATTACATGAAAGCACTTGAAACTCCCACCCTAATGATCTGCCCCTCTTTGAAGGGCAGCTCTTCATCAGCAGCATCCGGGTTCGGAGACATGGACAGAGGATCGTAGTCAAAGAGAGCCACAAAGATCCTAAAGGGCTCCTCTGGCTCCGACTCATCATAGTACGTGGGAGAGCGGCGATCCCGATCCCTGTAGCCATCTTCAGCACATAAAACAAAAAGTAAAATCCCATTATCCAACCTCACCAACCAATAGACTTACAGAAATGTGGACAAAGTACTGTATTTTTCGGACCATAAGGCGCACTGGATTTTAAGGCGCACTGTCGATGAAGGAGTCTGCTTTCATACATAAGGGGCACCGGATTATAAGGCGCATTAAGCAAAACAAAGCAGTCAGATAAGTCCAGTGTTGTCCAGTGTACCTATTTCGGGTCACTTTTGCCGGTCCCAAGTCCGTGTAAAGGAGGAGGGTTGGAATTATTGAAAACAATAATAAGAGAGAAATTTAATTTGTAGTTCTAAATATTCTAAATATTTTTAGGGTTCTTGGGGGGGGGGGGGTTACTCACTTTATGTCTCTTCCACGATGTTATTTCTCTCTCCTACAGTGTCTGTTACAATTAAATAGGCAGGATGAATTGTGCAAATTAGGCGATGACGTCATTTAGCGACTTTTAGGATAGCCAATAGCAATTTTCCTTACTGAGGAGTTGGCTACACTGGATAAGTCAAACTCAACTCATTCTTCTTGCTTCCACCACTTCCGTACCAGTGATTGTGATCCTGTTACTCTTTATCCTTTATTATTCTAGTTAATGTTGAATTCTCTCGCAGCTGCTCTATTCCAATGTTGTCGCAGTATATTAATGACTAACCTCCTATTGTGGATAGATTTTCTTAGTTGTTCTCCTGACTGAAGTTTGGTCTGTTTCCAGCATCCTGTCATGTGATTGCATTTGTCCCTAACCATCTGGAATCTTGCCTTAACTTTTATAGAGCCAGTTCACTGTGGTTATGTTATGCTAGCATAGCTGTGTTGCTAGCAATCACGTAGCACATCACTATATACCAGCTAGTCCAACTTCACTGCTGTTTAGTTTTTTTGTCTTCATTTATGTTGGAAGTGATAGCAAAGCTGTACATTTTAATTTTTTCAGAAATCTCTCAGTCAGAACATGGTATATCATCTTTAGGTGGAAACTAGCGAGCTAACTTCCTGCTAACATCCCACTCAGTTAAATTTAATACATTCTGTTTACATGGATGCCTGGAGTTAAACTTAATTGTTACACCTGGTAAAGCAGCAACGCTGATCATTTTATTAAAGTTTAACTCTCAGTGATGCCGCAGTGTTAGTTTGACTTTGAGACATGAAGAGAACTGAGTTTTGGACCCAGATTACTCCGCGAGGCTCCTGACTATAGTAGCCGTAATGCTCCAACAATCCATCAAGCAGTACGGCTTCATAGCTTACCAAAGTCGTACTAAAACATTTGACAGATTTTTCAGCGCTGTTTACCACATAAAATCGCATCGAGGTCAGTAAGCACAACCAGAATTCATACATAAGTCGCACTGTCGATTTTTGAGAAAATGAAAGAATTTTAAGTGCCTTATAGTGCAGAAAATACAGTAGATGACTGTACATTAACTTTACTTTGTGTTATAAAATGTCGTAAAGTGTGGCTTTTCTATTACTGTGAAGTAAACATGTGAAGTAAAGCTTTAACAGCCGGTGATTTTAAATCACTTCCACATTAAAAATTATTCACAAAACTTATTGCTGCATACAGTGAACGCCACTTCTGTGATAAGCAAGTCTGTGATGCCGTGCTTCCGGTCACAAGAAATCAATGAGAGGATCCTGATAAGTCTTATTGATTTGACCATTCAGTATTTGCATGACAGATTTCACTTTCCGTATCAGGCCATGATTGTGCTTCTAACCATGCAGGAAGAAATCTGTGACCCAGTGAACTATTTTCTGCAGCACGCACACATGCATCCACAAATACACACATGCTACGTGTGTTTTAATTACTTTATTTATTTTATAGTATTTTTTTTTATGTTTGAATTTGTACATGGTGTCATGCATGAAAAAGAATCACTTTTTGATGTAAAAACCTCATGAACTGTCAGGAAAATGCACAAACTATAAGCACAATGCATTAATAATGCAACAACTCAGTTATTGCAGTCATTATGAATCGTTAATCATGTTCATGTGTACTACAGTTTAGTCCCTTCTATGAGCTGCAGACGTAAGAAACTAAGCATAACAGCAGTGAATCTGTCAAAATGTTGTGTTAGTGGTTAATTAAGCAAAACTTCTTCATGACGTTACTGATACGCTGATAGTTCATAATGCTTCACATCAGTCAATTAGTACTTCTTCATACATAAAATCGTGTAAGCATTCATAATAATTTGTGTGCCCTTTCCATTAATGGTCATCAAAGACTAACCATGGTGCAATACATAGACAAATCGTGATTTATGTGCATGACAACATCCGCGACAAACAAGACCCTGACATGCATGCTAAAGCCTTAGAGAAGAAAAAAGGAAAAAAAAACCCAAAACACCTGAGAAACAAACAATCTAAAACAACCACACTGTGCCAACCCTCAAGGCAAGAAGAGGTCTCAAGAAGAGGTCTCAAGAAGAGGTCTCAAGAAGAGGTCTCAAGCTGAGGCGGCAGTGTTGTTGTGAAGACCTGTGTATGTTTTTTGATTCGCTACGATAACACTGGGAAAATGCACCACCTAGCAAACACTATATGGCCAGTGCTTGAAAATACAAGCTTACAATATAAAAGAAAGCTAACATCTCAAACTCAGACATCTAAAGAAACAAGAAGCAATGCCAATGTGGTCATTCTTTAGTGCCTACCACTGTCATATCTTTTGAGTTTCATGCATGACTGGTGTAGTGGGTGTGGTTGTATCACAAAGGGAAGGGTTTTAGCAGGCGTCTGGAGTTCAGTGCAGTGTTGTGAGGCATTCCCTAAACAGTCAGTCAATCATTTATCATCTGCAACTGTGGAAATGTTGATCCTGGACCCAAAGCATGGTTTGCCAATGGGTCCACCATTTCAGTGCATTGCGGTCATGCTGTTCAACTGTAAGCATAATAACAATAACTATTATTTTTGAAGACAAAACATTTGCAAGTGTCCCCAGCTATTTATTGCAATTTGCCAGGTGCTGGTGGCACTTTTGTTGCCATGCTGTGGTGGTAAAAACAGGACTGCAGGCACATACCATGGGGAGACCTGGTGCCGCCCATGTGCCTGCGGGATGACCAGGTCCTGTGTCGAGCTACTCTGCCATAGTAAACATCCTCGGTGATGGGAGAGAGGTTTCCCTCACTGTTATTCTCAGAGGTTACCTCTACAGAAAATACCAGTTAGAAGGTGATGAGGTTACAAATCAAAGCTCTACTTTCTCCTCCCAATATGTTAAGTGAAGATTTGCGTTGCCTCCTAAAACAGGTGATAACAAATTTTCAGTTATATTTCTAGCCGTCGTCACTGTTTGAGTAGATTAACTTATCACTGCAACAGTGCAAAGCGGTTTAATCATCATCATCATCATCATCTCCATCTCTGGAAGATCAAAGTCAAGGTACTGAAAGGGATGAGCATGGTTTGCAGACACAAAGGTGATCTGGAGACAAAGACTTCATGAGCTTCTTGGTATTTAAAAGAAAAAAGGAGCAAATGCGACTGCACTAAGGGACAGAGAACCTAAAATATAGCCATCTGCCCATACTGACCAATGGAGGGGACCATTAGAGGTCGTCTCTGAGGCTGGGGACCGCCGTGATGCGCTCGTCTCCCACTATCCCGATCATGGCGGCCTCCAACAGGGGTTGTCTGAAATATACACAAACATAGAAAGCATCCGCAGACAAAGCATTCATGTGTCATGTGTTGTCACAGAACCGTGAACATACCCGTAAACAGCGTGTGAAAAAGTGCATGTCGAACATACTTGTACAAACTGTATGTAAACAAAATCATGCAGTACTCACAGGCAAGCACTGAAACATAGACGCACACACGTAGACTCACATTCAGACACACACACACACACACAAGCCCATGGGAAATATTTCCATTCCAAAATTAAGAAATAACTAGTATCGCTCTACCCATCTACTAAAAAAGAAAGGCAAAGATATTTGTCAGTGCAGCCTAGGCTACACCCCTCAGCTATATGTCTCCCTTTGTCATGATAATCTTTTCAACCCAGTCTCACCCTTTAGCTCTCCAAGTTCTGTCCTCTGTGTTTTAATCAAATCCAGTTTATCCCCGTTTCACTGCAAAGCACCCAAACACAGAAAGAAACTATCCCTTTCTGTGTTTCTGAGAAATTAAAGGAGCTTTTTGGCAGCAGCAAATGGAGTCTTTGGTCCAGACTTTGAAGATTGCATTTTTCTACACTGACATGTTTGTTCACTGAAGTAAAATAAGCTTCTGTAGTTTCTGCGATGACATGCTTTAAAAAAGTGGCAAAAAAAAAGTCACGTGTTTATGAAAGCAGCAACAGCGGTGCCTGAAAGCATCTAAAACCCAGTCTACATCTATCTGTGTCTCTCTTATATATATTCCGCACTATCTTTCTCAATAGTGCGGAAAGATTCAAACCCGACAGCTTTCATCATCTCTGTCTATGGAACTGAAATAGTCAAACCCACTGCATCTGCCCTTCTATCCATGGGCTTTTTCTTTCTGTATAAAATTTGAATTAAACTCAGCACACACACTAATGACACATATCAAAAGCAAGGCAGCAGTCTCAACTGAAGTATCTGTGCCTGTGCAGTTCACTTAATAATAATTTGCTTGGATAAGTGCAAAGAACTGCACCTTGGGTGTGTTGTGCGAGTTGCGTCGACGTCCCTCTTCCAGCTTCATCTCAGAGTACAGTTCCTCCTCATCCTCTTCCATGATGTCAGACAGGTCAGAGCCCCGGCTGCTTTCGCTGTGATAATCTTCATTGTGACTATAGTGAGGCTTTTGGTAGTTACACACACAAACGAACAGACGCGATTAAGTCCGCATACAAACATACATACATGCACACACCAAACACACATGGATAAGGCCAGCACGCCCACATGAACACACATAAAGACACGGGTTAAGGAGTGTGTACACATGCAACCACCTCAGACGCACATGCACACACACACGTCCAGATGCACACATGTGAGGAGGTTTTTCCACTGAAACACACGTTAGGTGCTTGAGCTCAGAAGTGTGATAAGCAAAGTGTGTCGCTTATCACACGGGTCTTACCGGCCTCCCCAGCTCAGAGCCTCTGAGGAACTCGTCAACCGAGGGTCCTCTCCGTCGACCGCGAGCAAACCCTTCCTCGTCTTCCTCTTCCTCATCAGAGTGATGCTGGTGAAATGAATGACCCTGTTCTCCATATCTGCCCTGCCTTCTGTCACCCTGAAAACATGTGTGTGTAAATAGGAATGGAACAGTGTTAACGGTGTCTTTAGGTTTTATTAACAATTAACAATCACAGAAAGCTCAATATTCTTTTATGTTTAGCAACTTGTGACACTTCCCTTCTTCAGCTTCTCTAAATTCAAATTAAAGCAACAGTTTCATCTCAGTGACTTGTGCTAAAATATATAACATCATTTTCATTAAGCATCTAGAGTGTTGTGTGAGCCAGCATTTCCATTTTCACCAGACCTTTCCGCTTTCTGCTGCCACCCTCTGAGCTGCTTCTCGAGCAATAGCTTTGGCCACAGTGTCTGGGATAAGCGTGCCTCTGGGCTGAGGAAGAATCCTCTGGGGTGAGGGAGACCGTGGATTGGCAGGTGATGGGGCTTCAAGGGTGTGGCCTTGCATGGGCAATGGAGGCTGGACAGAAGGAGAGCGTGTAGGGTCCCAGCCAGGTTGGCCAGGTAGAATAGCTCCCCCGTGATGGGCCGCATGGTCTTTGGCATCCAGGTCTCTGGCACTTACTGGTCTCAGAGGTATAAGGTGGGGTTGGGGGTGGGGCAGCAGAGGCAGTTGGTGCTGTGGCCTGGGACCTTGGTGGGGTGGACGAGGCTGAAGATGTAAGGGCTGCGGCTGGGGATGGGGAGGACGAAGCTGGGGTTGCGGGGGTCCACCTTGATGGGGGAGTCTGGGATGGGGTTGAGCATGGGGAGGACGGGGCGGCAGTTGTTGTCCATGTGGTGGAGCGGGAAATTGGGGTGTGGGATGAGGAAGGTGAGGGGATTGGAGGAGAGGTTGAGTATGGGGGTGTGGAGGGGGGCCCGTGTGAGGATGCACTGGTGGTGGCAGGGGAAGCGGAGGTAGAGGCACAAGCAGGTTGTTTGGAATGACAGCAACTTGAGAGTCCTGGGATTCTCCCTGGACCGACAGTGTCCTAACGATGACCTCCCTGGCCTCGAGGCATTGAATCCTTGTCAGTTCAACCGTAACATAGTCTGCCATAGGGAACAGCACCTCAGCTATCTAGAGCCAGAAAAAAATTAATAAATGTTAACATAAACAGTGGCTGCAGTTTCATTTTAACAACAACTAAAACATTATCAGTATCAGAGTCAATACGTCCAAAACAAAAATGGACAAATCCAGCTGCTGAAATTTGATTAGCCCCCTGCACTTTTTAGTGTCAAATAAGTGATTTCACTGAACTAACAAAAATACCTCTTTAATTTGATTTATTATGGTGGGAAAAAAACGCTCTTAAGATTTCCACCTGCAGGGGCAGCTCAAAAACAGGTTTCTGCCCAGTGTGGCTGAATGTTGATTTTCCCTTTCAGGTTTACTGTGATGATTTACTTTAGCAGTCACCAGAGGGAGCGAGAGGCCTTTCCAAGACCCAGACCTGCACCGCACGTTAATTACAAGTAGGTGGCATTGCTGAGTGAACTGATGGTAATGATGACATAATGCCACGCTGAAAGGCAGACGCTGTTAATGTCCCATCTGTGGTGTATATTCTCATGTTTTGACTGGATTACGCATGATTAAACATTTCACAGTGTTGTAAATACTGTACAGCATGTAGACCTTAGGAATATACATCCCATATGCTTAGGATTTAGCCACAAACTACTGTAGTTTCTCATAACAGAACACAATACATCATGAGCAATGCCTTTAAATCAAGATGAGCTCTGTGTGATCACTCATATCCTTTTAAAAAGAATGATATATAAAAAGTAAACTAGTCCAGGCAGGCGAGACCTAGACATGCTAACTCACCCTCTGCCCTTTAGTGCAGACTGCGTAACCAATGACATTTGCCCCATTGGATGTGCCTGTGGGAGAGAGGTTGGGGGGCTTCCAGCAGACCTGCAGGACCCCTGGAGCCTGCCCACAGAGCACCTGAACATCCTGGGGTGGCAGCGGAGGCCCTGGGAGGTAACCAATCCAGTGTGTAAGAAAAATAATCTCTTACGGTTTACTGATTTAGTACATGTAGGATACAAACGAGAGGGGGAATGATGTGAAGCATTCATTAGATGCACAAATACGTATACACACACACACACACACACACACACACACACACACACACACACACACACACCACCATGCACAGAAATGCCCAGACACAAAGGAGGAAATGAGGACGTGAGGTTGGGGTGGGGGGGTGGGGTTATAATTTGACTTGCATATCTAAATTTATGAAATTACATAACAGCTTATTTGTATTTTGCAGAGATACACAGTTCATGCGGGCTACTTGATAGCATGACATTGCTGGTGGGAAACATTCACAAAACACTTCGTGTTGTGTTTAGACAATGTCATTTAAGTGTATGGTGAGTTTTTGCACAACACTAATATTTCCTAACCCAAGATGATTGTCAGATAAATCAAAATGAAATTTTTATTTTTATTTTTATATACAGACCTATATTTTTAGGTCTGTATTCCTTATATATGCTATTCTACTATAACCATTCAGTAATCTTTGGAAGAGATGAAAACTTTAAGGGTTGCCCCGAGATATACACTGCTGTCTCCACATGCAGAGAGCCTGATTAGAGCTCAGCATTTCTTTTTTCTGATCTCTTTGAAACATGCACAACCGCATTCGAGCAGAAGCAAATGCACACTGATAGAAAATGGTCATTTCAGTGAGCAGTGGAGGGGCACCGCTTTATATAGAACTGGCTATGTCAGGCTAGGCTATAGGCTGAGGAAATGACTCATCGTAATTATTGATCATATCTCATGCTGCTCTGGTATTCTCTAATTAGTGAAGTGCACTGTGCAGCAAACATGGGCAAAATTGCATACAAATTTGGTTTCGAACAACAAATTGTGCATTTTCAAAGGACATGTAATGACAGACTTGTTTTTAAAAGGTTTTCAATCTCAGAACCAGAATAAGATGCCATTTTGCCCACATTTCATAATAAACTGCATATGCTGAACAACATGGCACAGTCATCCTCCCTGCAAAATGTGTCAGAGCACTAATGACATCCCTTAGGTTTAGTGCTTGAATATATGGGAAACCAACCCCTCAAGCTTTGTTCTGACCTGTTCTGCAAAATGGTGTTGGACCTAGACAAAATACAATACACAACAACGACATGGTAAAGAAATGTGACGCTATACTATTCTAGAGCAGAGTACAATAACATTAGAATTCATATTACAGTACATAATCTTGCATATGAGAGTTAAACTAAGATTCTTAGAAGCATGTGAAAGTAATCGCCAGCTATTAAGCTGTGCATTATTGATACAGTATCTCTGTGGATAATAATAAACCTTTCTGACCTGCTGCCTGAGTGCAAAACTCCACGCCGGCTTCCTTCCTCTCTCTCTGCTCCAGCGGCAGTTGCCACGGCACCTGGTGGGGCTGCGCCACCACCGTCACTTTGTAAACTGTCAGGGGCTTCAGGTTGTGGAACCGTAGTCTATACCTTCCCGGTTTTACCGCTGCGTGCTCTACCCCGTCTAAGAACACAGTGTGAGCATAGTTGCTGTTGCTAGGCAACCAAGAGAGCTCGGCAGTGTCACGCTGAATGTCATCGACGCGCAGACCGCACGGCGCCACCACCACATTGGCTCCCACTAGCAAGGTGCAGCGCAGCTCATCTGACAAGCCCCGGTCCGTGACGCTCTGCACTGACACACGGTGGACGCAGCCGTCCAGGTCCAGCTTCTCCAGCAAACACTTGGTCCGACCACCGTATGGTATATTGGCACGAAGCTCCCCATCTACTAACACATTGTAGCTAGAGATGTTCCCCCAGCCCAAAGGCACTAGTGGAGGCTCCCAGGCCACGATGACACTCCGTGCCAGCTGCTTGATCAAGGTGATCTTTCTGGGGTAAGGCACAACGTCTTCCGCCAGGTCCTCAGGATCCAAGGCCCCACCTGTCCCATTGCTACAGGGAACCAAAGCGTTTGCTGAGCTCAGAAGGCCATCCTGGGAGGCACCTCCATCCACAGCCATCAAGGCTAGGGATGTGTGCTCAAGTGAGCTGAGATCTTCCCCTGCGTCTCCAGCCTGAATGCCTGGTTTTTCCTTGTCCTGGACAAACTCTACAAAGTTGGAAGGAACAAGTCCTCTTTGGCCATCCAGCAGCTCCCCTGTCAAGCATAAACAAGTACAGACACAAAGGTAGAAAATAACAGAAATATGTTATTCATTTTTTAAATTGATATTTCTAGTTAAAAAGAATAAAAGTAGATAACAGAAAATCCTGCTACTATTTAATAAATGTCTCTTTAGGAAACAACTTTCTGTTTTGATGCCACCTGTAAGTGTTAAAATTAGGCTTCTCTCACAACACAAAGACAAAAACAAAGCAATAACTTAAACACATAAATCGGTGAGAGCTTCTTCTTTTTTTTAACCTGCAAGGTGGGAATGAGTCACTGAGTGAGAGGTGGAAGATATGTAAACATACAGCATGTTCTATTCCCTAAGATGTAAGATTCCCCACGGGTTCTCTGATGCCATCTTTCATACTCCAACACACAACTTAGAAAACACTCCTTTCAACATTTCTAAGGACCTCAGTGTTTGAACATTTCCAGGAGCACCCCAGAGTACGTAGATGCTGCGGTCAATGCAGAAAAAAAAAAGAAAGAAAAGAAAGTGCTTAGATTTGCAGTGTAGTTTTTCCCCCAAGGCAATAAGTTTGTCTTCAACAAAGCTCCCTATCATCTCGTCCTTCAATCCCTTTTTCCACAGAGGCCTGGGGGGCCTTAAGACCATCTTGGTGTGTCTCTACAAGTGTATCTGAGCGAGTGTGTTTGTTGTTTATGTGTGCTGATGATTAAGCTGAGCCCTGCTGGATTAGTCATCAAACTAAGAGACCAAGGTCCCCATCCTGACAACAGCTTGGTATGCAGCCCAAGTCGCCCCTCCTGTGTGGTAAATACAGGGACCGTCTGCAATACCATGCAATCTGACTGCACACAGCTAATGAATCACAGGGCTTTCTATGACGGTCTGTGCTGGCTGCAGGATTGCTAGCAAGGGGGATTAGGATTGCCTCTGATGGAGAAGCCTTCATAATTATAAACAGATTATACAGAGAGTGAGTCCAGCCACCAGTTATGAAAAAGTATCGGGAAACTTTTCTTCATGACACCACGCACTGACTAAGTGGAAGTCACGCGATGAAAGTAGCCAACTAGTATGTATGACGGACTTATTCTATATCAGGGTGACAAAGCCTGTCAAGTAGTCCTTGCAGCACGTTTACAAAAATGACTGCATCAGCATTACGTTTAGATTGTGCTGTATCATTACATAACACGACATAATGTAAAGAGACTGCAGGGGCACAAAATGCATCACAGATACAATGTGTCATTCTACACATACAACATTTTTGCATATACCACTTACTGCACAGTGTGCTGTAGGTGCAATGCAGTAGGGCGATCGTGGCTCAAGAGTTGGGAGTTCGTCTTGTAATTGGAAGGTTGCCGGTTCGAGCCCCGGCTCAGACAGTCTTGGTCGTTGTGTCCTTGGGCAAGACACTTCACCTACCACCTACCAGAGGGGCCGATGGCGCCTCGCCTCTGTCAGTCTGCCCCAGGGCAGCTGTGGCTGCAACTGTAGCTTGCCTCCACCAGTGTATGAATGTGAGAATGAATGAATAGTGGTATTGTAAAGTGCTTTGAGGGGTCCCGAAAAGCGCTATATAAATGCAATCCATTATTATTATTATTATTATTATTACTACATGCTACAGTCAAAAACGCCACAGACATAAATACGATGGTGAAAGACAAAACAACTTCAGTGGAGAATAAATGCCAGCTGACACACACTACTCGGCATTTTTGTGTCTTTTTTGTGTTTTTGAGACAATACATAATGATGCATACACTTGTTTTCACTGTCAGGCAGCATCAGCAGACAAGCACTCAGGCAAAACTGCAGGCCTGAACAGAAGAAAACCTATCCTCCCAAATAGAAAATTTGTTGCAGTATTTTCAGATTTTTGCCAGAATTTGATTTATCGAGCCAGAAGCACATATCGCCTCACAGACCGCTTCAAATGCTCTATGTGTGTTGTGTACGACTCACCTTCATAGAAGCCATCGTCATCCATGTTTCCATACACATACAGATACTTTCCAGCCACAAGGGGGAGTTCTGCTTCAGGATGCTCATTTGGTCCATCGTAAGGGTTATAACTTGAAGGAAAGAAAGGTTTTTCATTCATTTGTGAAGGAAAATTAAAGATAATGCGCGTTAAAACCCAAAATGAAATTATTTCTGTATTTAAACTTGTCTTATGCACCTATAACGGGCAGTGCAAAGGCGGACCTGGCCTGTGTAGCGAGATTTGGACCTGGGTGATGGGCTGGCCTCATCCTCCATCTATAGATAAATGAGAGGAACAAATTAAAGTGTTATTAGCAGGGATAAGCGACTTTCCTACAGCATATTTAAGAATTAGCAGTTTGCAGCAACTCTTGAACCATTCCTTTTCAAGATATGAATATGTAAGTTAATTATTTAAAAACAATTAACATAATAGGTTATGCATGCATTATTCATGGATGTGGCATCACACAGACCCACCTCTGATGAGGGAAACTGTCGGGGGTGGATGGGGTGGTCCGTTGTCACGGTGCTGGATTTGACAGACAGCAGTTCTGGTGGTTCTCCGTCTCCAGTCTGCGGTGAGCAGGGCAAGAACTGGGATATCAGCAGCGGCGTGTCTGCCGCACTCTCATCACCTGGGAGACATTGATTTCCATAGCAAATAAAGAGTAACTGCCTTTTCCTTCCACAACCATTTCGCGCTCTTTGGAGCAAAACCATTGATCTCCTGCGGGTACAGCTAACACCCTTCATTTGGAAGGCTACTCCACCCCTATCAGCCCATCCTATTGGCAAAACAGACTTTAAAAAAATGCAGAAAATACAAAATGGAATTCCCTGAAGAAATTAACGATACGTAAACAACACAGATCAAGTGCATCACTGCGTTCTTGTGGTTTGTATGTAATATTATGCATTAGCACAAAAACATCAGTGAATTCTGCCCGAAGTGAAGAGACAGATAAAACAGGATTTTCAGCACTTCAAAGACCTTTGGTTTGTGCCAGACTGTATAAATCTACATCACTGATACGGCTCTATTTGCTGTATCTGCAGGTTGCACTATGTGTTGTTAGAATACTAATGTGTTAAATTACATTCGTGTCGTACATCAGGCTTGTGATCAAGGGCAGATATTGATCATGAATAAGCACCGTCTCCATTAATGGTATCCACCTCTGGTTTGCAGTGAGTGGGTCCAGCTGTAATGTGAGCTGTCTGGGGATTAGATCACTAATTATCATTTTATCTGATCATAACCCTTTTAAGCACTAATAATTTTGCAGATGCTTTTATCTGGAGAGCACATGTGTTTTTAGAATAGTTAGACCCCACTAATATTTAACCCTGCTAGTCTACAGTTTTATATCACCACTTTATATTACACAGTTACATTAATACTCACAGAACCACACTCACACTCAAGTAAACACATAAAACCGCTCAGCTAAAACTGAGAAAAGTAGTAATCAGAGAAAAATAAATAAATAAATAAAAATCAGGGACTGACTTTCTAAGACTTTTGATTTGTTTTGATATGTCCCCGTTCCCCAGCCTCATAATTGCCTTTATGGCTCAATGTGTTTCATACAAAGCTGCCTGTGAGGTGAGACTCACCTGTCTCTGGTTGGGCTTCGAATCTGACCTGCGAGAGTTTCTTCTGTGGTGAGGGCGGGATCTGGGATGCAGAGGTGGTATTACTTTTAGGGATATTCACAGGTTCCGACTGGAGGCGGAAATTCAGCAGCTCTTTGGACAGCTGGTGAAAGTGTTCACTGTGTGACCGGCATTCCTGCTCCAGGTCACGAACCTTGACCTTTGGCAGTTAAGAAAAAAGAGCAGTAAGGATTGTGAAGACTGAGAGAAAAAAAAAAGAAGGAAAAAAAAAGAATGAGAGGTGAAAGGTGATTATTCTTCTGGGCTTTGGCAGTATATAATTTTGAATGTCTAGCAATCTAATCTAAACACGTGGAAGTGTAGAGTCATTTACTGATATGGTTAAATCGTGATAACCAAGCCTGAGCACTCCATGAAGTTATATCATAGACATGCTATCAGAGGAAGGCCTAGAGGGGAAAGCGTGAATATACATATAATCACTTTTGGTGATACAGAATATAATTTTGGTTTCACAGGTTTGCAATTAAAGGAAAATTCGAAGAGGAAAGAAAGGGTGATGTAACTAACTAATCAGGGATGAAAATAAATACCTGAAACATTCTGTCCTTATTGTTCTGTTCAGACAAAATGTGGAAATCAGAAGTAGTAAGTAAAGAAAGGGAAAAAAATGCAAAAAGAACCAATCGTTAATAAAAGCAAACGGAAGGGGAACCAATGAGAACACAAATGTATTTATGAGTCGACAAAAAAATAAGACAAATGTGTTTGTCAAACTGAAATGGACTCCTAAGCACAAAAACACAGAGTGGAAAACATGTGGGGATTTCACACCTACAGACAGCACAACTATGCTTTCCCTCCTGTGGCCATATTTGCCCATAACTATAGAGAAACGCGCCTGTGAAAGAGACCAACTGATTCAGGGATTTCTAGGAAGAGATCTCCTTGACAGAGTTTCAATTTCTCTGACCAAACTGTTTTTTCTGAGCCAAACTCAGTCTGCTTGCTCAGTAAAATCGTATTAGAGCGCTCCAGATGGATAATAACGTGACCTCATATGAGCCGCACACAAAGGAGTCTGCGACGTATTCTCGTAGCAAAAGGATTTAAAGTAAGACGAGAAAATAATTTTGAGTAGAGGTCTGTGATGAAACAGCGGGTCAACGATTACCATCCGGGGGGGGGGGGGTGACGTGAAGCGTCAATGCAACGCGTGACAACGCAACTACTAAACAGAAGCGTTTGGAGCGCAGCCTGAATAAGAAGATAGAAATGTGACCGCAAGCACAAAGGATACGCTATTGTCTGACTAGTCTGATGTATGAGTCACAATCTGGTGTGGAGTACTGGAAAAAACTACACAGTAGTGTAGCCAAGCAGATAAGTGTTTTGCTGGAAGAGAGACGGGGGGGAACTTACTTATGGGACTTCATTAGAAGAGAGTCCAGAACCCCAACGGTACCCATGTGTCATAAGTTCAAGTTTAGAATAAACTTGCGTCGTATGGCTCCACATTAAAACTCTGCTTGTCCACCCACGCAGCTGTTTTCAATTAGCCTGATTAGACGTCGTTGAAGGCCTACGTAGGCGTGTGCAGACGGTGCCTTTTTTTTAACATCTCTCTTAATGTGTTGCCAGTTTAAATGCACTAGTTAGTCCAAGAAACGTCACTTTTCAATTTACTTAATTTAAATAATTTCCTGCGTCTCTGCGTTCAATTTCAGGCTCAGCAGAGGTGATTACTGAAGATGGTGTGGGTGTGTGTCACGCAGTTAAACTAATACATTCGTTTGACAAATATACCTCGCTTATTTTATTTTAGCCCCAAATGTAGAATGGCTCTGAGGATGGCAGTGTTGGTTGATGTTAGCCCAGGATAAAATATCTAAAGAACTGCACTGGAAACAGACATTTAAAAAAAAAAAAAACTGCTGGGGTGAAGATTTAAAAAAAAAAAAACACCGATTAATTGCTCCTTCCATAATTCCTCTTCTACACCACTGCAATCGGGAAATATAAAATATTTAGGTAT